TTACGATATACAAGTTACGAAGTTAGAGCGGGTGCAGAATGGCAGAAGGTCCTGGCAGAAGGTGGGCTCCGGCTGAATGTCAAGAAGACCAAGTTCCTGAGCTCTGAAGAGGGTGCAGAGCCGATCGTGGACGGCCATGGTGAGACCATCGAAAGAGTGGAGGACTTCCGATACCTTGGAGCGATCTGGCAGCCGACGGCAGTGTGGATCAGGCAGTGAAGGGAGGATCAACGCGGCATGGATGAAATGGAGGGTCCACTGGAATCCTCTGCGATCGAAGGTGCTCCAGAACGCTCAAAGGGAAGGTGTACCGGACAGTGGTAAGGCCTGCGATGCTATACGGCAGCGAGTGCTGGCCCCTGAACAAGAATCACGAAAGGCAGCTTCACTCCGCTGAGATGAGGATGCTGAGATGGGCCTGCGGCTGGACGCGACTGGACAGGGTCAGAAACGAGGATGTCAGAGCGGTCATGCAGACTGCCCCTGTCCAGCTGAAGGTGAGGGAACAGCGACTGCGATGGTATGGGCATGTGCTAAGGAGCCACAGGGCCACCCGATAAGAAAGCGATGGACTTCGAAGTGCAAGGCAAGCGACCGCGAGGAGCCCCAAAGAAGAGGTGGAAGGACGTAATCAAGAAGGACCTAAGTGAAGTCACGGCCACAGCAGAAGATGCCCTGGACAGAGCAAAGTGGCGACGACTGACAAAGACAGCGGACCCTGCGACTGCGCGGGACTAACGCTAGGGAGAAGAAGAAGACAGTAGTGGCCAGAAATTTATGAACAAACGGTTTTTTCATGATTTCTCTTTTGAAAGTCACTGGAACGTCTCCAAATTTGCAACAATTATTAACTACGTGTTTTATGATCCACACAGAAAATTTCAACCTTCAGCTCAAATTTGGGTTTAGAAAATTTTAGATTTTTCGAAATTAATGAAGGCAGGTGAAAGATCACTTGATCCGTTTATTTGATTTAAATAATGTATAACCCAACAGAACAGTCAAGTAAACAGTCACTAACATTAAGCAAGTCTAGCACATTGCCCAGAACTCTCTAAAGTATTGGATACATAAACTGGATTTGAATGCGGGGTCAACTAATGAACTCACTCTCTAGTGGGGTCTCTCTCTGTAGTCCCGTCTTTTCGTGGCTCTTTCATTGACATACGAATTTGTAGGTCCTCCCTAGTGGTTCTGTAATGTTTGGCTCAAGAGTCTGGCCTGGCTGGTCTTTTAAAAGCACCCCATGCTGTCGAAACCACTCCTGCATGTGAGAGGCCGATGCTTTGAGTCGCTGCTCTGCCGACAGGCGAAGTCAGATCGGGCGGCGGCCTTTTTCTTTTTTTTGGAACCTCAAATTCGTCATCAGCAAATATTCTGAAGGTGATATCGTAACTAGCTTTGGGCTCAAACAATTTGATGTTTGATGTGCGTGTGGGAGTTAGGGGCACGGTGAGGTTTTTAGCTGTTTAATCAGACATAGAGGAGCCGTTGTCAACCTTGCCCTTGCAACAGAGCTGGTTTCGGAGAGTCATTATAGTGCTGTTTAAATACCCTTTCACCGCACAAACAATTCATTTTCTAACTATCACTCTTTCCTACTCTATGAGCTACCAGTTGGCGCCGCACACGTTGCGCGCACAACACATCTCTGCGGCGATATGGGTTGGTGCGGCGTTGGCCCGTCACACTACATATATTTGAACTCTAAGCTATTCAATCACACACCAATAGCAGTTGACCTCCCTTCCCTTGTGGGACT